ACTCCCCTCCACCAGAGACCCATGGATTCCCCCCACCCACACAAGCACCCTGCAACCTGAGTGATGAGCTGGCCACCCCACCCCGGCCATTGACTTCGCTTGTCAAAAAGTTGCAAAAGGTGATCACATGACCCTGGGACACTGTGACCGTCATAAGTATGAATCAGTTGCCAATCATCCGAATGTAAATCACATGACCCTGGGGATGCTGCAACAGTCATAAGTGTGAAAAATGTTCATAAGTCACTTTTTCAGTGCCGTTGTAACTTCGAACAGTCACTAAGCGAATTATTGTAAGTCGAGGACTACCTGTACTTTATCATTTTTTTCCTCTTTTTGGGGGGGGGGTCAAGTTTTTGATACTTTGCTGGGCGACTGGTGGTACTTGGATATTGCCTTATCCTAAAAGTGGTACAATGAGTGAAAAGGTTGAAAAGCCCTGGCCTAGGGTGTTCAAGTGGTGCGCCACTTGTTTTGGGATTGTACTCCAAGTGCCTATTACTATTATTATTATGGCTTGCATTGGAAGAGAAGCTTTCCTGGATCGCACCACAGAGAGATCTAAATCATTATATTTTCATACCTGGTTCCTCCATTAATCACCCACTAGGTGTCCTCTGCTCATTGGATGAACTGCCTTTGAATTTGGGTTTTCTATGACACTAGACTCCTGACTTAAAGCCCTTCATTATTACCCTCATGAGTTTGCTAAATGCATTAAAATGTCTAATTAAATTGTGGAAGCTTCTGAGCTCTCCTTTCTCTTTAAGTTTCTCCTTTTTGAAACTAATACTGTTATTCTGAGAGATTCAGGCACTGGGAGAATTGCTTGTTATTTCAGTCTAATTACAGAACTGTATTTATGATATCAGAATACAAGAACATTGTGGATCTCAATTATAGACTTAATATTGCCAGGATTTGCTGCAATCATGATTTGAAAGTGGGTCAGCTTCTTCAAATCTAGAAGGTACAACCCCAATGAAATGTGGTTGCTTTGTTGAAGAGGATCCTGCTAAGAATAACTTCACAGAACTTCATTTCATGGGTTTGGAAATACAAAAAATTAAATTAAAACGAATGGTTTAAAAAAAAGCCATTTCCAAATGTACTATATATTTTGTGTGTAGCTATAAAAGCTGAGTTCTAATCCCACCTTAGGCACAAAGTTAACTCTACTGACCTTTGGCCAGTCACTTTGTCACAGTCCTTGGAAGGAGACAATGGCAAACCACTTCTGAAAAACCTTGGCAGAGACTTATCCAGGCAGTCTCTGACAATCAGACATGATTGACATGTATATTCTATGCAGAACCCTCAAACCTCCCAGGCTTCAGTGAGGGCCTACAGTGAGGAAAACATATTACCTGTGTGTGTGTGTGTGTGTGTGTGTGAAGAAGGGATCTTTTGAATGAATTGTATTCAAGCACAATATGCAAGATGGTGGGTGCAATGAAGCACTCCTTGCATGCATGCTTTGTATTTCATCATGATGCTATGCTCACCATTTTGCAGATTTTGATGCACACACATGCATAGACTGCCTGGGTGTACCCCTGAAATCCTCCATTGGATAACAATTATAGGATGGGGCTTTAGAGGAGGGAAAACAGTAGGCCTCCTCTGTCCTGTTAAGCTAGGTGGTTTGTTCTGATTAAGCCCATGGGCTGGTGGGATTTCCTTTTGTGCTTGGCAAGGTTCAGAAATGTGCTTCCATAATTTGTGTTTTACATATTTAGCAAGTTATGCTTCTTTGCTTGCCTTCCGTAGGCTTCACCAACTCTCTTCCAAATGTGTTGGATTATAATTTGTGAAATTCCATGCTGGTATATCTGAAGCAGGTTAAGATTGTTTTATGCAGTTACAGTTAGAGGAACAGATAAAGTGTTTTGAACAGCTGAATATACTATATTTATATGAGTAACATTATAATAAACTTGACTTTGATATTTTGACTATTAAGATGCTTTCCAATCTTGCTTCAGCAGATGGCAGCACCTGGTTGAATTTGTCTGGGCTGAAAAGATAAGCAGTGTCAGGCCTGGATAACCCTTGGGTGATAGATTACTGGCAGTCCCAGGGCTTATAAACTAGATTTGGAAGTTGAAAAACATCCTAAAATAAAGCAATAGCCAGTTCCTTCTGCACCATTGCACAGACAATTGCATGGGCATGTCCATGAAATCACTATAAATTTATACTCAACTCAACTTAGAGACTTCCCTTTTATATTTGATACTTTATTAATTAAAATATTAGTTTACAGAAAGAAATCTATATATTGGATATTCTATTTCCTCCAGGGCCCTTTGACTACTATTTCAACAACCTCCCCTTAAAGGGGGAGTATTGGAGACTGGATGAAAGTTGTCTTAATCTTGGATCCGGTATTTCTTGAGGAGGGGCTGGATCATGGTTTCCTTTAAAGCAGAATCATCTCCTTTTGAAGGAAAAAATTGCCAGCATAAAGATTCAAATGTGTGTCAACACCTGAATGATCATAAAGTAGTTGGTTTGTAAGGATCTTGCAAAGAATGCCAAGGTTACCAGATGCCAGCATGGATTTTTCAGCAGTAAGTCTTGTCAGACTAACCTTATCTCATAGGTAACTTCCTCACTATATTGGGAACATAAATTGTACGTAACTATCTTAATTTCAGAAAACACTGCTAAAGTACCCCACAACATTCTGATCTGCAAGCTAATTTAAGTATAGACTGGATGATATGACAACTCCAGTAATCGGATATATAGCTGGTTTGAAAATCGCATTCAAAGTGCTCATCAATGAATACTCATAAAACTGGAAAAAATATTGAATGGGATGCTACAAAGTTAGTTTCATTGAAAGGGAAAAAAGGGATTAAGTTTCAGAATTTTGGAAACTGGATATGTGTACTCTAACCTTTGTTAGAGTGGAAATTTTTTAATCCTCTTGCCTATTTGAAACTATGGAGAGTTGTATAGGACGAGTATGTGTATACTTTGGCTCAAATAGACAGATCATCACACTATTTTCCTTTTTGTGAAACCAATATTGTGCAGAGTGCAGAAATTAAGTAAGAAATAGTAATATGATTACTCATGGTTGGTGCTATTAATATAGTTGTTGATTTGGTTTCTTATCCCTATCCCCTCTAACCCCAAAGGGTTTCAGGATTTCTTTGCTGCCATCTAATTTGAGGTTTCAGATCACAGCCAACTGAGGCTGCTTGCAGTTGAAAACAAAAGGTTCTAGATCTGGGCGCTATCTAACAAAATGAAATTTCAATGGTGAAAAAAACAAGGTTCTACATTTAGGCAAGAAAACCAAATGCACAGGTATAGTATAGGGGGTACCTTACTCAATACTAGTAACTGTGAGAGGGACCTCGGAGTCCTAGTGGACAATCACCTAAATATGAGCCAGCAGTGTGCTGCAGCTGCCAAAAAGGCCAACACAGTGCTAGGCTGCATTAATAGAATCAAGATCACGTGAAGTGTTAATACCACTTTACAATGCCTTGGTAAGGCCACACTTGGAATACTGCATCCAGTTTTGGTCACCGCGATGTAAAAAAAATGTTGAGACTCTAGAAAGAGTACAGAGAAGAGCAACAAAGATGATTAGGGGACTAGAGGCTAAAGCATATAAGGAACGGCTGCTGGAATTGGGTATGTCTAGTTTAATGAAGAGAAGGACGAGGGGGGACATGATAGCAGTGTTCCAATATCTCAGGGGCTGCCACAAAGAAGAGGGAGTCAAGCTATTTTCCAAGGCGCCTGAAGGCAGGACAAGAAGCAACGGGTGGAAACTAATCAAGGAGAGAAGCAACTTAGAACTAAGGAGAAACTTCCTGACAGTTAGAACAAATAACCAGTGGAACAACCTGCCTCCAGAAGCAGTGAATGCTCCAAAACTGGAAGTTTTTAGGAAGAGACTGGACAGCCATTTGTCCGAAATGGTATAGGGTTTCCTGCCTGAGCAGGGGGTTGGACTAGATGACCTCCAAGGTCCCTTCCAACTTTACTACTACTACTACTACTACTACTACTACTACTACTACTACTACTACTACTATTATGGCTGTGATAGATGATGATTAATTGCCTTAGCACAGTGTTTCTCAACCTTAGCGACTTTTAAGATGGCTAGACTTCCGAGAAATTCTACTAGTTGAAGTCTAGCCATCTTACAAGTCGCTAAGGTTGAGAAACACTGCTAAGGCAATCAATCATCATCTGTCACAGCCATAAGATCTAGATAACCTTTTGTTTTCAACTGCAAGCAGCCTCAGTTGGCTGTGATCTGCAACCTCAAATTAGATGGCAGCAAAGAAATCCTGAAACCCTTTGGGGCCATCTCGGGGCCGCCGCGATGTCTGCAGCCCACCTCTATAGTAAAGCCTAGACTGGGTGGGTGATCGGAGTATAACAGTCCCACGCAATTAGACTTTTGCAAATCTTAGCTGCGGCGATCGATGCTGAGATGCCGATTAGCTAGTAACGCGTCTCTCTGCATTCGAGACAGGGTCCGCCTCAGGTCCTAAAAGAGAAGCACATGTGTTGAGGGTGTATATGTGTGTGTAAGAGTGCTCCCTGGGCACCACACATACCCAGAGGCACTCTGATTGGCACTCTGCCCTCGCTGAGCCCGGAGCTAAGCAGCACAGCGGATCAGCCTCATCCTTAGGAAGTCCCGCTCCCGCGCCCCGCTCCCTCTCCGGAGCAGACTGCCTGCCGGTGGAGAGCTTCCCGCAGTCTTCCTCTGCTCCGGGAGGACCGTGCCGGAAGGCTAGAGGTTGCTTGCGTAGTTTCCGTGTGGGCTGGAAGGGAGCGAGAAGGAAGGGGAGGCGCTATCTGAAGCGGCCAGGCAGCAAGAGCCGCGGAGGCGGCGGCAGCAGTGGCGGCGGCGGCGGCGGCGCTCCGGGCAGCGGCTGGAATTCGCCCTGGCGTCCCAACAGCAGCGGTAGCGGCGGCGGCGGCGGGCGGGGGCCAGCCAGACTTGGGCCCCCTGCAAGATGGAGATCGAGAAGGAGTTCCAGCGGCTCGATCAGGCGGACAGCTGGGCCGCCATCTACCAGGTAAGCGAGGTGGGAGGAAATGCACCGGGACCTGCCCGGCCGGGAGCGAACCGGCTGCTTCTTTGTCCGCTGGTCCAGCCGCCGCTTTCCCCTCCCCCCCGCCTCCTCCCTCGAGACTCGCACTCGCTCCTCGGACAAAGCTCTCTCGCCTTTACTTCCCTCGGCTCGCTCTCGTAATCGCCTCGCGATCGGCTCTCAACTCCGATCCGGGCTCTCCTTTCCGCGCGCGCCTTGGCACGGCTCCCTCCGACATCCAATGCCGGACGGGTGTCCATTTCTTGCAAACCCCCCCCCCTCCTCCCTTTGAAACGATCCCCGTTCCCGGCATATAAAGCTTGCCGGGGAGAGGGTGACTTGCATTGTGCGCGCCCTGGAGTTGGGGTGTGTGTGTGTGTGTGTGTGTGTGTGTGTGTGTACTTTACCCCCCCTTCCCCAAGACAAGAGGGAGGCGAATATTTAATCACGTTCAAAGGAAGTAAAGAAAACCCTGTTAATTTCTTAATGCAGAGGAAGCTCTGCTAAGAAGAAAGGAAGGGACAGATCTGTAGGCCATCCCTGATGGAAATTAAAGAGGGTTTCTTTGATCTTTGTTGATCCACTGTCCCTCTCTACTCCCCAGGTTTTCCAGAGTGCACCCCCCACTATGAGGTTTCTGAAGGGAGGGGAATCAGCTGACTCTCGAAGATAGGCTTGCTTGCCATCTGCCTGGGGCAACTCCTCCATTAGGGCATCTCTAATGAAGAGTCCTTTGCGCAGTGCCCTGGAGCAGTTATATGAAAGGTCCATGTCCTTGTCCCTGTTTGTCCTGAAAGCCAGTAAGGCTAATTATTTTCCCACCCCCCCACCCCCGATTTTTTTATTTATTTTTTTGATGGGGAAGCAAAAACCTGATCCCCTTGTTAGTTTTCTGTTCCCCAGAGTTAGGACTTATAGTCTCTATCTGATTTGTTGCCTACCAAGGAAGGTGGTAGCTGCTTATAAGTTGTGATCTCTTATTGACTCTCACCATTCCCCTCCTCCCCCCATACATGTGTTGCCTGGACAGTATGGAAATGATGTCTAAATGTGTGGGGGGGTTTCCAACGTGCAAATGTTTTCTGACAGGCTTTCATGAAAACGTGAAAGTAGTTTTTCTTTATTTCTGATAGTCTTTGCGATTTGACTTTAATTATGAAACATTGAGTTTTGTTCCACACATAGCAGTGATGTGATTGAAGCTTGGATAAGATATAATTCTGCTTGGTTTTGGGCTGCATTTGACAAGTTGTGTGGGATAGAAGAAAGGCACATTGAATAGATCTTTGGACTAAAGAGTGTGGAACACTTGTGCCCCATAGTATGGTTCCAGATTAGAAAGGATCATTACGTTTAATGCAGTGCTGTCAAGCTAGCAACTTATTGGGCACCACCCACTTTTGTTGAGATGAGTGGCTATACAAATTTGATAAATAGAAATAAAAAATAATTTAAAATGAACATGGACATCTAATGAACATATTGTTTCTTGGGCTAAAAGTCTTTAAAAAGGTCTTATTATGTTGAGCTTAGATGGCACTTACTATTATGGTTTGTTGCAGTCAGCCCCATGTTCAGACAGGATTTGGCATTTTTATCCAGGTATCTAGTCATTCCCAAGGACCTGGGTTGTCAGATGTTACTATTTTGTTATCTTTGTATGTATGTGATAATAATATTAAGGGCCAATATTTGACTGCTTGGGGATTTTGGTGAGTCAATAATAAATCTTCTACAGAAGGGATGTTCTCCCAGCTCTATAAAAGGGACCTTCTTTTAGCATGGAGTTTTATAAGATCTGTTTTAATGGCTATTGATGGTATTTTAGTTCATATGCTGCCAGGCTAAATCAATATGTGAAATTAGTCTGAGCCAATATTCTCCCTGTAGAGGAAATGAATGAATTTATCTCTTGCCATGGGATTTTGGAGACTGGAAAAATTGCTTGAGCAATTTTTTTTCCTTGTGATCATGTTAGGAAATATTGAAAAAGATCTCCTGTAAGGCTTGGTGAAATAATAATGCATACATCATCAAATTACAAATTAAGCATGCCATCCTAGGCATTTGCAAAACTGCTGATTTCAGTAGAGTTTGATTGATAGCTTTCGGAGCAGGATATATCTACTAAACAAAAAGAGATCTCAAATTGTGTGTGGGGCTTTTTGGGGTGGGGGGGAAATGCTTTTCAGTATGCTAAGCATTATTGAAAGTTGAAGTAACAGGATATTTGCTAATCTGGTCTTGAAATGTCAGTGACTAAGGTAGCCTAGCAATTGTTTCTTAATTTTTGTTCTCTTACTGTAGCTGTACTGAATTTGGTTGGAAATGTGTACTATATCAGCAAAACATAAGAAATTAGGTCAAGGTGGCTGCTCTATTCCTGGAATTTTTACACTATGTGCTTTGCATACTATCACTCCTTAATGTGCTAGCAAGCTGCAGTACTCTTTATTTTTTTTAACTAAATGCTGAAATTCTTGCAAATCCTTGAAAAGCTTGTATATTCTAGCATGGACACTTTGAATTTGGGTCAGGAATAAACATGAGATCTTTTCTAATATTTGAGGAACATGATTGAATATTTTCTCTGTGAGTCCCACCTTGGCCAGGTTTGCTGTGGCCCGCAAGTATTTCAAGTACTACAGTCTCTTTTATTTCCTCTCATTCCATCAACTGCTACGGTATCTTGCAGGGAGTATTTGGATAGAAACATCAGCAATCCTATTTAGTTTCTCCTTTCCTATCTACTGAGCTGTAAGCCGCTTTCATTTCCTGATATTTAATTATAAGGCTATGTCGCTTAGAGATGTCCCTGTTCTCCTATTATGATTACTCTTTCCTTTATTAATCTGTTTACATAAACTGCTTTTCCCCCCACAAAGCCGTAGTACATCTAATCACAGTGCATGCTTCATAACAAAAAGGCTTCCTTTCCCTAGTTTAGATGAGCTCAAGGCATATCCTTTTTAATCTTCATGCCGCTTTGCCTTAAAAGAAGTCCACATAAAAGCAGTGAGCTGTTTTTCTTGTTGGACTTCTGCAATACCTGCAGGGCTCTGCCTCCTGCTTCTCCAAGTGGCAAATTAGCTTGGATGTGGCAGGTAGCTACCAGTTTAGATTTTCAATGGGAGTCGATGAATTCATGAGGGGTCAGACTGTTAAGGACTACCAACTGGGATTGCTTTCTCCAATCTGGATACTGTATTTTAAGAAACTTACTGCTAGGGAGCAAAAAGGGAAGAGCAGACTTGTAATTTCTGGTTTAACAAAGACAAAACAAGTCTTCAGCCTCAAAATAATTTTATCTGATCAGTGAGCTCTCTTGGCAATGTGAAGACCCAGTTCTTTGGAAAAGGCTGAGTTGCTGTGAAAAGTAGAAAGAAAGAGAAGTGGATAGCCAACAGCATGGTAAATAATTACAGGGAATCCTCAATTTACGACTAACTGGGACCAACATTTCCGTTGCTAAACAAGGTGGTTGTTAATAGTCACACCTGATTTATGACGTTTTTTACCATTGTTGTTAAGCGAATCATTCTAGTAGTTAAATGAAGGAGGATACTGCAACTGTCATAAATACATGCCAGTTGCCAAGTATTCAATTTTGATCACATGACCGTATAGAAGCACTCCATTTTGATCACATGACTGAATGTTGTGACAGTTGTAAATGTGAGGACTGGTTGTAAGTTACCATTGTAACTTCAGTCACTAAATGAAGTGGTGATGAGTACATAAGTTAGGTTAGAAGAGATTAGTTATAGATCATTGTAGAGAAAATCTATGTGACTAATAGGAGTCTAAAATGCCTTGATGTCACATTATTTATCTAGTTTTGAGTAACTTTGAGCTCTTGCTGGTAGAACAAAATAGTAATAAGCCATTTTTCTAGTATATCTTGTGTGAGAAACAACATTTATTTATGTTATTTATTTCTTTACAATACTGATCAATTTAGCCCCTGAATGATGTGCAATAAAGCAAAAATAAAATAAAAAGAAATTAAGATATCAAATTAATTGAAGATAATATATAATGCAATTACACAAAAAGATAGATGCCCACAACAAACTGGGATCAACAATTTAACCTGCCTGCTTTATACTATTTGGGGTGGGGTGAGGACTCTCACCAGGCCCTCACTAGAGTTTCAGACCAAACAGGAAGATTTGATTTTGGCAGTGCAGAATCTGATGTATGTACCCTGGTGGCTTTTCCTGTCTTGATCATAATTAAGCCAAGACCTGTTTGCCTTTATATGTATGAATTTTTAATCAAATTTGTTCTAGCTGTGGAGCACATTTGTAATTTCAGTCTCTGTGAATATGTGTTCGCTAATGACATTTTTCTTCTTATGCAGAGAATTATCATCATTTATACCTCCAAGGCCTGGATTTAATTAAAATAAAGATTGAATTGCTTGTCATAAAGCTTTCAGTCTTACTATTGCAGAGCACCTTCTAAAGTAGCTTTGCAAAAGTTTGCAACTGAAACCATGGGTCATATGTTTATGTGTAATTTTGACATAAAGCAACAGTTGTGGGCAACTGTGAATAATGCATTCACAAATGTTTCAAACCTGTATTTTTACCAGTGAGTCTTTTCAATATATGTTTATGAGTGTTAATTTTTGTCCCCCCCCCCCAAAGTGAAGGGGAGGCCACAGATTGGTTGTCAAAATTGAATCAGGTTCCAAGACACCCTTTTGGTAGCTCAATCTCTCCCCCCCTCCCCATAACACTGAATTGGGCAGCAAATTATACAGGCAACACAATTTCCTGCTGATTTTCAGCAGGAAGTAAATTAAAAAAGCTTAAATGGTGCTATAAAATGTAAATGCATCCCCTAATAGGAAAGAAATCCCACTGCCTCTCCCCCCCCTCCCCACTGATGGTGGTCTGAAGTGGCTGAAAAAAAATTGAATGTTGTATACTGCTGTGCTAAGCCACACTATCGCTGAGGTACAAACCTAGCCAATTATA